ATAAAAAAAAAAAAAAAAAAAAACAATAAGCCTACCATAATCTAAATTCAGTTTAATAATATTAATAAGGTTTCCTTTCTGGTAAGGGTGATTATTAACTTTCCAAACCATGGAGAATACCTCAAAAGTTGTTCTTTATTACCTATAAAAATGAGTACAGAGAAATAGAAAAGAAAAATAAAACCAACATGATGGTGAAAAAACTTTCTAGTATCATTTTTTTATTTCTTTTGAGCTGTTTGTGTCTGGTTACTCAAATACATCAAACTGCAGCCTCAGATAATTTTGTTAGAGACGTTTGTAAGAAGTTCGAAGAAAAAGAACGGCATTTTTGCTTTGATGTGGTAGCTTCAGATCCTCGCGCAGACTTGAAATCAAACTTTACAGGACTCCTAATTATCTTCATAGACCGTTCCATTGCATATGCCTCTGATAGTACTAAGTACATCGTGAAGCAGTTGAAGAGGTCAGATTTAAGCAACATGACTCGAGAGACTTACGTAGCCTGCAAAACTTACTACGAAGATGGCATAGACCTTCTTCAAGAGACGTTATACAATTTTTTACATTACCCTGACAAGAGTTTGATTAAGAGTACACATAATGCGTATGACATATTTCAAACCTGTGAATCAATATTTGAGAGCGCTCCACCAGAACCACCATCTTGGTTGTCTCGTTACCAAGGCTTACAACGACTTATGGACCTTACAGTCGGAGCTACAAATTTATTTCTATGCAAGAAAATTGTTACTTGTACTCCATAGCATTCAAATTAAAAGAATGCTTCCGTCTTCGTTGAATCTCAACAATAAATATGATTATGAATTCAATAAATCGATAATATTTCTTTAAAAACTTGTTGGATATTTTTATATGAACGATTATCCTCGTAACAAATAAAATGCATCATTTATATTTAAAGAAATGTCCGTCGTCATCTAAATTCAAATGTTGTAGGTTTATGATGCTATCTTAATCAATATTATCTTCTTTTTTTTTCTTCTAGTTTCTCAACACATACATTGAATAATTATATTTTAAGCTCATAAATATTCTACCATAAAAATTCTTCATCACTAATTTTTAAAATAATTTAGTTAATTTTTAAAATAATTTAGTGAAAATTTGACTATATTATGTATCTTACTTACTTTTATTATTTTTCTTATTTCTAAAATTGAAAAAGGAGAATTCTCTATAAAATATTGGTTCTAGGCCCGTAGAGAAAAGAACCTAGTTGATTTTTTCAAATAAAAAAAATATAAATAAATAAATTTAGAAAATTCTTGTGATTGGAAGGGATAATTTTTCTTTATAGAATTTCTTTTAATGCTACCGTGTCATTAAATGAGAAGAGAAATTATTTAAGTGTTACCTTGTATAATCTCTAGGGACAGTATGGTATCTGCTAATATGAACATCATTTATGGAAGGTTAGTTGGCATACCCTTCTACCAGACCATAAAGTTACCAAGGGTTGGGGGAGGGACCTTTTCTGTAACGGCTAGCTACTAGGTCAACCTATGTGGTCCGACATCCCTAGGAACACATATATAGCATAGAGACGTTGTTTAGGAGACCGCTAGTCATTTCCACATGGTTGGGACACCTAGTCGTCTTGTCGCACCTCCCCTATCTTACTTGTGCCTACCCCGATAGTACGAGTACTGAAGTGTAATCTCGACGGAATGGTTACCGGAATGATTTATTATTTTGAAAAAAAAAATTATTCATTTATTATCACACTTAGATGTTTCAATGTCGGTGTTAAAAATCTTAAGACACAAGTCATCAACCAAGATGGGAAAGATTTGAATATCTCCCTTCCATAAAAAAAAAATCACATGAGTTATACTCGAAAAAACAATAAGCTTAAGATAATCCAAATTCAGTTTTAAAATATTAATAAGGTTGCCTTTTCTACCGGGTGATTATTAACTTTCCAAACCAAGCTTTGGAGAAATACATCAAAGTTGTTCTTTATTACCTATAAAAATGAGTAGGAGTCGAGAAAAAAGAAGAAAAAAAACTAATATGATGGTGAAAAAACTCTCTTGTATCCCTTCTTTATTTCTTTTCAGTTGTTTATGTCTCGTTTCTCAAATACATCAAACTGTAGCCTCGCATGATTTTGTCAGAGACGCCTGTAAGAAGTATGAAGAAGAAGAATGGAATTTTTGCTATGATTTGGTATCTTCAGATCCTCGTGCAGACTTGAAATCAAACTTCTCAGGACTCCTGGCTATCTTCATAAACCATTCCATTGCATATGCTTCTGATACTCATAAGTATATCGTGGAGCAACTGAAGAGGTCAGATTTAAGCAACATGTCTCGTCAGGCTTTCGTACTCTGCGATACTAAGTACAAAGAGGGCATAGATGATTTTAAAGCATCGTTACAAGATTTGTTAAATAACCATAACACAAATATGGTTGGTTGCTGTCGGCCCGCGTTCGAATGCTATTGTCCAGTATGGTGGAGATGGGTTGGCTGTTGAAGCTGGGCCGCTGGGCACGCGTATGTTTGTGTGCGAGTGGACGGAGAGACGGCAACCACATGCATCTTCTAATTTTCCTTTTCTTGTGTGTGCATTTGTCTCCATGGGTCCGTCAAAATGTCTAACTTCTTTCTTATTTTACATTTTTTCGGCATGTATTCTCTTGTAGTAGCACTTCTTATCATGCTACAGTATCCTTAGATGGAAAAGAAGACTACGTAAGCATCGATGCCGCTATAGCAGCGACACTGAATAACAGTAACTCTAGGTTTAACATTCATGTTAGACATGAAATATATTATGAATATATAAAAGTTGAATCGTCCAAAACGTTTATTACATAAAAGGTCGATGATAGTTGGTAATAGGAACCAAGGTACTGACTTTGAAACCTCAGATTCAGCCACTTCAGTAAGCTATTCTCACCGTTTCTCTTTTCTCCTCCTATAAAATAAAGTTTATTAACTAAAGAAGAACACTACATTTTAGTTCATAGCCCTCAAAAAGATATTAAGGGCTAAAAAAGATATTAAGGGCTATGAAACGTGGTGTATTTCTTACTTGATTTTGATTTATAGAAGGGAGAAGAGGGGAAAAATGGAAGAAGAGTAGTAGACAAATGAAGTTACATATCACAATCATTCACATTTCTAATTTAGTAAGTAATTTATTATATATTTTATAATTAATTGAACAAAAAAAATTCTAAGATATTACGTTATATTATTAACAATAATGAATCATTTTTTAAAAAGTAAATTAACATATTCTTCTTACTGTAATATATAATTGTTTAAGTTATTAATATATTTTTTCCACACAAATTTTAAAATTAATAATAACAAATAAAACAAAAATAAAGTACATAAAATTGTATATATTTCAATGGTTAGAAATTAAATTTAAACTTTTAATTACAAAATCTAAAACATTACAGACTAAATTTGTCATTTAACCATGGATGGTAATAACATTATGGCTTAGTCCAAGTTTTTTCTTTGACTTAATCGTGGGTGGAAACAAGTGTATGGCTAAGTCCATAAAGTTTGAAAACTCTACTAAAGCTAAATAAGGTATACAGAGTGCGGGTTCGGTTGGGTTGAGGGATTTTTTTTTACCAACCCAAAAGTTCGGGTTGGTTGGATTGGTAACCCAACCCAACCCAAAACTTTTTACAATCCAACCGAACACTGTATTTTCGGATTGGGTATGGGTTGAGTTGTCAATTTTTTTTAAGTTTAATTAATCTACCGTTATAATTATTCGAATATAGATAAAATATGTTAAAAATTCACGAGCACAAATCAATCTATAATTTCACAAAAAAGAAAAAAAAAAGAGAGAGAAATTCAATAAAAAAAAACAAGTAGCTAAAATTCTAACGTATTAACATAGTTCAATCATAAAATTAAAGACATGATAGATCATGAAATCAAAAAAAAAATAAAAATGATTAGTTTAAAGGTATTGTATAAACCGATTCAGTTCGGGTTCAAAAAAATGAACCCAACCCTACCATCGGGTAGGTAATCCAACCCAACCCAACCTTTATAGTTGGGGTTGGGTTGGTCCCAATTGTCCCGTTGAATGTACACCCCTACTTTTCAGTTTGGAAAGCTAATAATAACCTTTGTAGGAAAGGAAATCTGTTTAATATTTAGAAACTTAAATTTGATTATCTTAGACTTATGGTATTTTTTCAAGTATAACTTGATTTTATTTTTAATTTATTTATGGAAGGAAGATATTCAAATCTTTCTTTTCTTGGTTGATGACATGAGTCTTAAGATTTTTAACACTGACACCCAAACATGTAAGTGTTTATAATAATAAATTAATAATTTTTTTTCTTTCAAAATAGTGAATCATATATATAGATATATAAGTGCATATCACATCAAAATTTCTTTAGAAGAAGAAATATTATTGATTCATTGAATTCACAGTCACATATATGGTTGAGATTCAACCAAGATCGAAGCACTTTTTTTACTCATAATAGCAAGGAAGAATGTGCTTGCATTGTAAGAAATTTGCAGCTCCCATTGAAAGAACCAAAAATCGCAGTAAGCCTTTGTAACGAGACAACAAATATGGTGGATATGGTGCAGTGCCATCAAATTCTAAGTCACACATTTGAAAAGCGCCCGTCGCCGAATTTGTACCATCAACCATATCTGTGTTAGGGTCATTTAACAAATCTTGTAACGATGTTTTTAAATCATCTATGCCCTCCTTGTACTTAGTCTTGCAGAGTTCGAAAGCCTGACGAGACATATGGCTTAAATCTGACCTCTTTAGCTGCTCCACAATGTACTTATAAGTATCAGAGGCATATGGAATAGAATGGTTTATGAAGATAGTCAGGAGTCCTGAGAAATTTGATTTCAAGTCTGCACGAGGATCTGAAGATACCAAATCATAGCAGAAATTCCATTCTTCTTCTTCATACTTCTTACAGGCGTCTCTGACAAAATCATGTGAGGCTGCAGTTTGATGTATTTGAGAAACGAGACACGAACAACTCAAAAGAAATAAAAAAATGATAGTAGAGAGTTTTTTCACCATCATGTTAGGTTTTTTTTTTCTTTTCTATTTCTCCACTTTGTACTCATTTTTATAGCTTGGTTTGGAAAGTTAATAATCGCCCTTACTGAAAAGGAAACCTTATTAATATTTTGAAACTGAATTTGGATTATCTTAGGCTTATTGTTTTTTTTTTGGAGTACAACTCATGTGAATTTTTTTATATGGAATAAAAATATTCAAATTTTTCTTATTTTGGTTGATGACATGTGTCTTAAGATTTTTAGCACCGACGTTGAAATATCTATATATGATAATAAATAGTTTTTTTTCCAAAATAATGAATCATATATATCCTAACAATTTGGTATATTTTTAAATCAATATCACATCAAAATCAAAATTAATTACTTGAGGATAAAAAAAAATCAAACTTAAATCCTTCCATATAATAGATTTAATTTTCTAATTCCTTCTAAAATAGCTATTTTTCATTAAATTTATGGTTCATTTGATAAATATTTAAAACAAACAGAAAATGAAAAAGTAAGACAGATTGAGGTTAGTC